AGAAAAAAACAACATAACTTTACATAACAAATTCACTCTATTTTGTATCATAAATTAAATCATGTGATTCTCGGGAGTGCTCCCATCCCCCCCCCCTCGGGTAGGGGGAGGGGGAAATTCGTCTCTAAAAACCTGATGTGAATTAAGTCTTCGACTCCACATTAGCCTACACATGAATAGAAAGGAATATACGCCACTGACTAAGTAGTAGTATGTACGAGTAAGTATATTTTACTATAACTTTTTTTGTTCGGATGCAACCAAACATTTGGTCGTATTTTCACTGAGACATGTTTTTATCAGTTTTAATGACATTTTGACAAGGGATTTCTGTATTTACCTGATCAGTACAGATAATTCACGGCGGGTGTAACCGGTTGACAGGGGTTTACTTAATCCTCCTGGGCACCAGGACCGTGTTTTACAAAAGAATTTGTCTAAAACCGGAATCTTTTAACGTTGATCAAATAATGTATTTTTATGTGACTAGAATGAACTCAGCCATGTAGAGTTAATTTATAGTACAATAATAACAAAAATATTTTTTTTTAATTGGACGAGATTTTGAAGCTATGTTAAATCATTAGACTTAGTTGTAAACTTTTTTTCTAAAACGTGGCTTTAGCCCCACCTCTCTCACATTTCCTGTGAAGATAACAAACACAGTGATCATGCTCAAAAGTCCAAATCATGAGCAGAGCCTCTGAAATTAAAAGAAAGTGTTTCAGAACACTTGTCACCTTGAAGGTTTATCTTCACAGGAAGTGTAGTACCGTGATATAATTAATCACGTACTTACCATGTTTACCGTACATACAATATATATTACAATGTACTATATACAAGAATATTTTACAAAATCAAGGTGCATTTTATACAAATGCGTTTGAAAAATTTCGTCAAACTTCAGGGAAAAAAAATTAGCATCAATTGTCTTATTGTATGATTAAATAATTAAATGATACAAGCGCGGCAAGCAAAACATGCCATATTTCCTTTGTTTTCGTTTGTTGAAGTTTTAGCTTAATGTAGTGAGAGACTTTATGCAAGATAAAAATAAACAGAGCCAGTTGTATTAATTGGTTTTCAGAAGTCCTGTCCTGTCGGCTCTGTTCTTCTTACCTTGTAGAAGTTATCGGCGAGGAGGAAAACAAATGGATCACTCAGAATGTACTAAAGAACGTTTGTGGTACCGCGCTTTGAAAAAATTACCCACTTTGAAAAAAAATTCTAAGTGCGTTGATTTTGTCCCAAATTTAACAAACTTTGAAAAAAAAATTTAAAGTGCGTTAAATTTGGGACAAAATCAACGCACTTTGAAATTTTTTTTCAAAGTGCGTTAAGAGTGTACATCAACATTTTTTACCATTGAGACACTTAACGCAGTTTGAAAAAATACGTATAAAACAAAAATTATGGGCATAGATTTAGTAATAGACGGCAATAATTTGTTATTAATATTTCTTCCGAAAAACTTATGAATTGATCTACCCTCATCGAGAACGAGAAGCCCAACTCTCTATCTTTCCTACAATATATGTATTTACATAACTGGTACATGTATGACATTGATATTATTTCTCTCAGTAAATTTGAGTTAACGTAAAATAGATGAAAAAATTGAGATGAGCATTCCTGAAAAAAAAAAAAAAAATACACACCCTATTATATTAAAGAAGAGAGCCGCATAACCTTTATTCAAAATGTATCCACAATGATTCCTCAGAAAAATGGAATCTACATGGTTATTAAAACATGCTATTTGACATGTCTAGCGTTTTTATGATATCAAATTACAGATTTAAAAGTCATCTGACTGCATAACTCTTTGAGAAAAAGTTATTAGTGAACGAGGTAAAAATTTCAGTCGAGTGAGTAATGTGGCTAAGGTTTATTTTCTTACTATCAAATAAATGAGTCAACCTTTGTTTCATATATGTTCACAATAGATAGATAGATGAATATGAGAGAGAGAGAGAGAGAGAGAGAGAGAGAGAGAATTTTCATGGTAAGGAAAAATTATAATTGCTCCCTTTTCCCTTAGAAAAATGCAATGCTTTAAGTCACTTATAGACACCTAATTACAGACTGAATAAAATTTAAAACAGAAAAGTAAAAATGAAACGAAAACTGTGCTAGTAAACAACCATTCCTCCATTAGTTCTAAAAGACCCATTTCTCTTTTATAACAGTTACGAGAACCTTTGGAAACAAGATAACTCCTAAAAAAATCTTTAAAATGTCTATATCTCAGATCCTGACGTCATCATCGAAAAGTTATCCAACCAGGTTCAAATAATTATTTATCATATCTAAAATTTGAAAGAATATTGACCAAGCCGTACACATTTTATTTCAAAGTACGTTAATATAGTCGATATTAACGCACTTTGAAAAGATTTTTTTTTTCATAGTGCTTTATCGTGGTCCCAAAATTAACGCACTTTGAAATTTTTTTTCAAAGTGCGTAATTTTTCAAAGTGCGTTATAACAGACGTTTGTATGTTTCTTGAAAATATTTCTTTATAATATCATTTTCTAAAAACAGTAATTCTAGTGCTTCAAACGTAAGGTGAAAGTTTCCTGACCTGAAGACACATGGAGATCCAATTACACATATTTTGCCAGAGAAACCTATTTGACTATTTTTGTTATATATAAGATTCTGTTTTTAAGTTAAAATAAGTGTTTTCTTTTTATATTTCATAAGCCAGTGGTGAGGAAATTTATGCCTGTATGTGGGGAAAAGATAGGAAGAAAACACCTTTGTTTGAGAACGTTCAAACTCTCTTAAGGGATATATAAACTAGTACCTTGGAAATCTTGATAGAAAGAGCATAAAAAGATTGTGTAGACATGTTTTGTATCGGCGGTTTTAAATACCGATAAAACATGTGGGGGTGGTTAACAGTAGGTCTCTAGATCTGAGAAAACCGTGCAAATTGGCCTATATAAACACATTTCGCAGATCCAGTTGACTTTGTGTTCAGACAAAATACTTTTTAGTTCCTATTTATAAGCAAACTATTTTGGACAGTTTGTACTGGACGGATAAGTTGTATAGGTGACGTTATTTTCCGTTCATTTTATATGAAAAGGGTGGTAAAATTCTCATTTAAACCTTTTTTTCCTGAAGTTGTTTTGGCAGGTTTGTTTTTCTTTGGATAACTGTAAAGAAGGAATTATCTTATCTATAAATAAGAACATAAATGAGCTTGAACATGTACATATATAGTTAACTTAAGGCGAAAGTCACAGACATTATAAACATCAGCCTTTTGTGTCTCTCATGGGGGCAACACTGAGAGTCAATAAAATGATAGGTTAAGACCTAGTTGACCATGCAACATACAGAAAAAATCACCTAGGTTATTACTGATAACAGGCAGAGAAAACGATGCAGAGTCAATGTATAAAACGCATAGAGAATAGCCATTTCCTAATTATAATTTCTTAACATGAATATAAAAATAAAAATTCTAATGCTTTACAAATGTAACGATTATTTCTAGGCTAAAATATATCTTTTAGTTCAACACTATTAAATACTTAATTAAATAAAGTATATATATATTGAGTTGTTAAAGTATTCCTTAAGAATAGACAGCAGCAAGACATGTAGTTGTCTTTACGATCGACTTAAAAATGTCATGTCATCACAAAGATACTTGCTAATGCCTGTTGATATATATATATATATATATATATATATATATATATATATATATATATATATATATATATATATATATATATATATATATATATATATAGACTTTTGCTTCTTTCACACCCACGTGTGGTCTATGATTTAAAAAAGAAAATGTCCTCTGTATTGCATGGTATATGCAAGCTACAAATCTTTAACAAAGTCAACATTCCGCATATTCTATGGAATGATTTTGTTGCAAATACAATATATCGTTCAATCAAACGTAAACTGACGTTTTTCATACAAATCGTTAGGCTATTATCTCTATGGCACTTGATTCCACCTCTGATGTTTTCAGAGGCTCTGCTCCAAGTTTGTAATGTTTAGTCGGACATTTGATCATATTTACTGTTTGCAATTGTCACGTTTCAAACAATTCCAAATTTTAAAACATTGCATTATTGACCCGTGCGAAATTTTGATCAAAAAGCTCACTAATCCCTTAGATAGATAACTTAACAAAACCGGTTCTCTCTTTTTTTATTATTTATGGATTAATAACGGCAATCAGTTTTCAAAAGAAATAAAAGAAAAAAAAATAATCAGTTGATGTATGCATGTTATATATTGCCATTTGTTTTTCTCAACGAATTTTGTACATGCATTGCCACTTCACTTAAAAATAATTCCTTAGGTTTCCCTAGGCAATAATTCCTTAGGTTTCCCTAGGCATACACATATGTCTCCTTTTCCCCACAATTTTACTTAGATTGACCATTGAGATTTTACATTAGATCAAGGCCACCGGATTACAAACAGAGTGTGAAATGGAAATCTGTATTAGTACTCGGCATTTCACACCCTGGATGACTAAATATTAGGTCCCAAACTGACTGTGTAACTATTGGCTTTATGCATATTGTCAATGATAAATTAAACTTAAAGTGATTCATTTGTGTACTTCACTGATAAAATAAAAGGTCATATAAATCACGTTAGTGTCAAAGCGATAGATAAATTTGCATGAAATGTAAAGATAACAAAGCGTTATCATGCTCAAAGTTCAATGACAAATACAAACTGTGAGTGTGACCTCTGAAAATATCATCCAAATTTAATCATACCATTTCCATACAGTAAACGCACAGATTTCTTCTAGTAAGGGATGCTTTTCTAACTCTTCTTGGTCCGCAGTAAAAATATGAAAATATTTATGATGAACAACCAAGCTGTTCGTCGTTCAAAATTGCACGATTATGACAGATACTTTATCATATACATGTAACATACCAGCAAATCTTACTATTAACAATTGCTTTTCCTGTGGTGCAGTTGTAAAATACAAATTTTATTCTTTATCTATCGTTTTTCCGTGCGGATTGATGCTGCTTGAGTTTTGAGAGTTACTGGGACTCATACTTTTCATTACACGTTCTTTGCTGTTCTTCTCTGGTCTAAAGACCACAATGTAGATCTTTGGAAGAAAAAGACTAGTTAGAAAAATCGTGGCGTGAATGAATAATGCACCACAAAGACTGATAACTCGTGTTGCAACAGTTGCTGAGAACACATACAGAGGCACAAACGCTAACCAGATAACGAAGGAAGTGAAGGAACAATACATGATTTCACGTGAATCGTTCATACCTTTCGGGAGTTTTCTTGTTTTGATGACGAGAACAAGACATGCAATCATAAGTATGAAAGGCCAGAAAAGTAAACCAAAATATTTGAAATTATTGGAGTCTCGACACGATCGGTGACCGACTGGGGGATCTGCTGTAAGATCATATGTTATCTTATGTTCTGGAGTATCTATTATTAGCCAGAATATTATAATTAGAAACTGAAAAGCAGATAGAGCCAGAGAAAGTAGCAGAGCAGTCTTCATTGTACATATGTAAGGTCTTAGTAACTGTCCTTTTGCCATTTGTTGCTTGATACCAGATCTCACATCGAACGCTCTCTTATAAACAATTAGCTTAGAAAGGACAGACGAATACGCAAGAGTATAACTCATGCCGATTAATAATCGAGAAAGTGCACATGATAGAGATGAAGGATAGCTTAGTAAAATAAAAGGTGATATATACGACAAAAGAATACTAGAAAGCAATACCATGCTGGTTTCAAAACCAGTGGCTTTTAGTAGAGGAGTGTTTCTCTTTTGCACAAACACAACTGATACTACGATGCATAAAATTGAACCCAAGGCACACAATACCAGAAAAGGAACAGAGAAGGGATTTCCATATGTAAAATAAGATACTGGAATTTGCATGCATTCATTTCTGTCTGAATTGGGTGTATATCCAGATAAACAATCTGTACAGCTGTACTGGTCTGATGAATTAGTGATGGTTCCAGGAGGACAAGGTGTACAGTCCCAACAACAGATTTCTGTTAATCTTTTTATGTAGCCAGGAAGACATACCAGAGAACACGCTGCTTTCTGCCTAGTGACGTTGAGCATCAACTCTGATCCTATATCTATTGAAAGAGAAAAGGAACTCATTACTCATACATAATTTTATTTTTCAAAAGAATTTTGAGCACAATTTTAATATTAGTGTCAAATTATAATTGTAGTTGATATTCTGATGCTAGTTATTATACATTTTCCTATTTCATTCCATTGAAAGTTGTTTCCTTTCCTTGAGTACTGAAGGATACTGTATCTAGCCGGTCCCTCAACGTCATCAACGAAATGGAATGAAGTATTAAAAGGATCTGTAATTGAAATTGAATCGAGTTATATTAGTTTTTATTCAATGATAGATTTTCTTATCATTATAAGGACCTTAATTGGACTGTTACTTTACATTATCATCCTGGAATTGAATACTCACTTCTTTGTCTTTCAAGGTATTCGATTAATAAATCTCCCGTTAAATTTTCTTTCATTTTCTCACACAATCCAGTGATATTCTGGCATATTTCTGAATGAATATTCAACATGGCATACCCAAATGCGTAAACAGCATCTCGGACATTGGCAATGAATGGAATTCCTATGAAAATATGGAGTATTTCTTTTTAGAAAATATGCATTTTTGTATTGCACTAAAAATGGATTTTTCTTTAAATTTCATAAATAGCTATCCAAAGATCATGTATTTCCAACCGCACTATAATATAAAAATTCATTTCATATATGGCTAAAGATTGATAATTGTTTTGGACATTTCACCATATATTTGATTATTTATTTGTTTTTATTATTTATTATTATTAATTTTTTTTTTTTTTTGCATTTTTTAAAACTTGGTCTAAAGCACTTGTGTAATTTACGAGCATTATCAATGTGCCCACAGCTTCCTGTTGAACAGTTTGGAAAATATTGTTGAAGATATTCAGCATACCATGGATTTGGGTTATCTTTAATTTGTTGGCTGTAATTAAGAAAAACAATATTGAAATACAAAATAAAATAATTGAAATACAAATGTTTTAATGATTTTCTTAAAGTCTCATTTCTCTTGATGTGATGAAAGGAACATAAAATTTTGCTGGTGACTGTTCTCTTGTCCCCCGCACCTGTTGACGTATTGGATATATCCTGGATATTCAGACGTTTCCAAAGTCATTCCTATGGCACCGTCCATGATATGTTCCAGTCCATTTGGAGGGTCATGTCCGGTTAATCCGTCACTTCCGACCCAGATAAAGCCTCTAATGCCCGTGTCCTGAATGTGGCGGATTATTTTGTATGCGTTTTGATATAGCATAAACAGAACTACCACTATATTGCCTGCAAGGAAGTTTTGATACATTAGAAAATGAACTTTATTTTAACTACATTGTGTCTCTTTCTGTATATAAGAAGAATGATTATGCTGATTAACACTTTAAGTGTGGAATCACAGAGAGCAGAGAGTAGAGTGTAAGTAAGAAACCAGAATATTCTGTCATTCAGTTAATCTCTAACATCCCAATATATATCTGTTAAGCACATATAAAAAGAACAACATTTGATATAGTACCTCTTGAGTTCCTTCTGGAAGTTAATTCAGTTACTGTTTTATGGATTTCTAATTCCGTCATTCCATCTGAGGTTTGTTTCTCATAACCAATGCATATATTTTCAAGTCGTGCAAACCTTTTGAAATCCTTGTAGCCATAACTTCCATAGCTGGAATCTTCGTAGAGAATACTCACATACTCCCAGCCATTGGCTCTAAAGAAGGAAAGAATGGATTTTAAAATTATAGGGCAAGGGAGACAAATTGTTTCAAATAAAATTAAAACAAATCATTTATAGGCTAAAGAGCACTGGACATCAAAGTTATATCATTCCGCAGCTAGGTTAAGGCTGTCCGAAGGATTAGTATGCATGAAATATATGGAGATAACGAACAGTATTCAAGCTCAAAAGTCCATTATACAATACAAAATAGGAGCAGAGCAAACACGGACCTCCAAACATCAGAGGTGGGATCAGGTGCCATGGAGGAGTGAGCATCCCCTGCCGACCGGACACACCCGCCGTGTGCTCCTTGTCATGATCGGGAAATAACGGAAAAATCCGTCGACAATTCAGTGTGTAAATAATGGTCTAACAATTAGTATGAAAAACGTCAGTCAGCATTTGACTCAATGATAAATTGTATTTGCTGACAAGGTCATTGTATCTACCATAGAACTTACGAAATGATGACTTTAAACGCGACAGCTGATATTCTTGTTTCATCAACTTATTTGTCAATAATTTACCTCGTTTTAGAAATTGTACATACGTAGAGCATGCTCTTGCGTATCGAATCAACTGAGAGATATATACCCCGTATGCAGGTGATGAAGGTATATTGCTGCATAAGTAAGGGAAGTTGACGATTGAAAAGTTAAAGTCATCACGTTTATCATAAAGCTTGGTTGTTAAATCATCATTAACGTCTTTTTCAAGTAAAATATCCAAATATGAAACAGATGTGTCAGACTCTGTGGTATCTTTTATCTCAAGTTCACCAGGATATATCGTATCGACATAAGAATGAAAATAGCCATTGTTAATTGACAATACGTCATCGATATATCTAAATGTCGAGTTGAACGCCACAGCAAGTGTTTTCGTCTTTTTACGTACAACATTTTGGACAAATTCTGCTTCATATGAATACAAAAAAGGTCTGCTAATAACGGGGCGCAATTGGTACCCATAGGAATTCCAATAGATTGTTGGAAGACCTGGTCTCCAAAAACCACATAGATATTGTCAATCAGAAACTCAAGCATCTTTTTAATGTCATCTTCAGAGTACTTGCGTGTACAATCAGAATGTTTTTTAACAAAATAATTTTGCAGATGACCAATGACAAGGTAAGTATATTTACGAGTTCCATTTTTATTGAAAAAGCAGCTGTCAATGATATCAAAAAGCCTGGACTTTAATTTATCGTGGGGAATGGTTGTGTATAAAGTTGAAAAGTCGTAAGTTTTTAAGCTGTTGATTTTGGTAAAATCTTGTGATGCATTAAATATATACTATTTTATATTGAGCAATGTTTTGACTTCAATTTGTAATCTATGTATACATACACGGTTAAGTTGTAAAGAAAGTTGAATAAGGTATTACAAAAAAACATTTTTGTGATGTCACATGACTGTGTTGATCACGTGACGGACACATAAATTTTCTTAAATGTTGCACAAAAATCGCATCGGCAAAAGTGAAAAACAAAATTATTGTGAACGGCTTGTTACATAAATCAATTAAACGTATTCTTGGGTGTATATAAAGTGCTTGGGGCAAGTCTGAATTTTATTTCATAAGAAAATATTTCACGAGAAATTCAACTTACCCACATACAAGGGGTCATTTCCACTCTTCATCGCAATTTATACAAAATAGGATATCCCTAACAAAAAAATACTATAGTAAACTATAGTTAACTATAGTTTACTATAGTTAACTATAGTAAATCAAAGTTCCAAAGTTTTTACTATAGTAAATCAAAGTTCCAAAGTTTTTACCATAGTAAATCAAAGTTCCAAAGTTTTCACTATAGTAAATCAAAGTTCCAAAGTTTTCACTATAGTAAATCAAAGTTCCAAAGTTTTCACTATAGTAAATCAAAGTTCCAAAGTTTTTACTATAGTAAACCAAAGTTCCAAAGTTTTCACTATAGTAAATCAAAGTTCCAAAGTTTTCACTATAGTAAATCAAAGTTCCAAAGTCTTTACTTTGGTACTATAGTTAACTATAGTAAACTATAGCTAACTATAGTTTACATTAGTATTTTTTTGTTAGGGATATTACATACAATCCCCCAGCAAAATTCAGTTAGAGGACATATTTCTCTAGTAGATTCACACAAAATATCTTCAATTAATCCTTATTATTCACTTGTGCTAGTCTAATATGTATAAGATTTATAGATTCTAACTCTGTCTACAGACACGTTAGGGGGCATTTCACATTCTTTTTTTTTCAATTGGTTGAATACGTACATGTTAGACAAGAAAAAGTAATAACGATATTATGCTGCAAATATTCACAATCATAACAGCATTAAAACAACAATCCAGACACGTGAATTAAACATCAACGTAAAAAAAATTCTACATGTGATGTGAAAGGAATGTAAAAGTTATGACACTTTCCCCGTCATGTCAGCTCAAATATGCAGTGACTTGACATCATATGCCATTATGACGTCATATTTAGGTAGTTCAGAGAAGTTACTACGGCTGGTACACTGTGACATTCTTCGGACAGCCTTATCCTAGCCGCGGCATTAATTTAAGTTATCTCCACTTTAAAGAGAGTGTGGTCCTGTGTGTGATAAAATCTTAATATCCTTTATTAAAGGCTGATTTATTGGTTATTCAATTAAAAAGCAGCCCTGTTTTTTCTGGAAGAGGAGCTAAAAATGTAAAATGTATACATGAAATATGAAGATAACGAATATTTATCATGCTCAAGGTCTGTTAAAACATTTTAGGAGCAGAGCAAACATCTCTACAACATCGGAGATGGGATCAGGTGCCATGGAGTAGTAAGCATCTACTGTCGACCGGTCACACCCGCCGTATGCTTCTTGTTACTTTGATTTGTCTATGGATGACCCCGTTTACCTGATTAAGACAAAGAAACTTACGTCGGATGTGACAGGTCAAAACGAATTCTTCACTCTTCCATAATACCTTCTGCTGCCTTTGATAATTCAAGGGTCCAGTATTTAATCTTTTCCCGATTGTGTATTGTTTTATTGGATGTTGAGATTCATCAAAGTTAATTACCATCACATATTCATTTAAGAACTATTTCTTTTGTTTCACTTTAATTTTGTCTTACCTGAGAATCTTAACGATCCCTTTAGCTTGGTATGTGTCAGAGGGAACTGTCCGCTTGAAATATTTGTACTCCTCTCTGTTATTAAGAACAGAAGAAGTAGCTGTGGCACTAATCTGGGAAAAATATACCATACAAATTACTGTAAATCACTTTTTGATCAAGAACTTTATTTTTGATTTCCTGCTCGCGAATATATAATTCTCATTTATTTTTGAATAAATGGATATTGCAGCAAAAACTGAATTTTTATCCCGCTTTAAGGTACAAAAATATTTCGCAAAGATAAGCTGTCTCGAAAATGTATTGATCTACCGTACCAATTATATTACTTCTTTTTTTAAAAAAAATAGAAGAAAATTTTCATTTGCTGCAAAATTAATGAAGGTCTGAGCAACAAAGAATATCACAGAACTTTTTTTTTAGAACATCTTCTCTTCATATTATCATATTTGACTCATGCAGACTTCAGTAAGAAACCAATGGTGGCTAAGGTGAATCATAGTGCTATCGACTTCATTATTAAATAGGTTAGATACGCAGAGTATTTTTTATTAAATAGTTTCATAATTTCAAGACAAAATCTTTATAATGTAAATTTTTTCTATATGGAAGAATTTTCTTTCCTTTTTGGGGTGGGTGTGGGGGATAATTTCAATACAAACATCCCTTTTGATGTAGTAAATGGGAAATGAATTACTTTGAACAAATACACATATCGATAGCAGTAGAAGTTCTCAGCTCAAAGAATAATTAGTATATTAAGAAAATTAATTTTAATTTAATTCTATTTTTTATACCATAGGCTAAAACAATAAACAAAATTGTATCACAGCTGAAAGATAATCTTCATAGAAAAAGCTTGTCAGAGGATCCCGGTATATTTCATAAGAAAAATGAAATGGAATTCAGATAGGAATAACTATAAGGATTTTATTAGGAGAATGAGCCATAGTCGAAATAAGATTAATTAAGATCCTAAATGTTTACCTGTGGCATATTGAAGAGAGCCAGCAGGCTGGCCACGTATTGTGTCTCTCTACTAGTCACGGGACCAATTACTCCTACCATCCGTCTCGACGGTAGTGCCATGCAATTATTGTATCCAGTCTCCACCTGTTTCGTATAGTAACTTTGCTGAGCAAATTGTAAAGAGTATTCTAAGGACGGGTTCACATTGTAGCAAGTATCATATGCTACTAAACCCAACGTTATCCCCTTCACTTTCAAGTAAAAATTTACTTCCGATAGAGCAAAAATCGCGGCGTCCAGTAGGTGTATTCCAATATCCGGATCGATTTTATTGTCACACCCATCGCCTTTTGAAAAATGAATGGAGAAGAGTCCACCCAAAATAAAATCTCCGGGAATCTGTAGATATGTTCTTTCGGTTTTCTTACAGAATACCAACCAAAATATTAAGAAATAAAACGTAAGGTGCATCATGAGTCCTGTCATTACCATTTTCATGTACAATTAATGCCTGACGTCTTTCAAACGAATTGTAATACCAATATTTTTTCACTGAATTGTCTAAAAAAAAATTTCGTTTACCCAATTTTGACAAAGAACACACGGTTCTTGTGACTGGTCGACAGGGGATGCTCACTCCTTCATGGCACCTTATCCCACCTCTGTTTTGAGAAGTCCTTGTTTGCTCTGCTCACAGTTTGTATTCTTTGATTGCACTATGGGTCTGATTACTGTTCAGTATTTTCACATTTTATTACATGTACATTTAGAATATATGTTACTTCCTGGGTATGATAACAAATTAAATAAAAAACTATCGCTTTTCATTTATTTATTCGATAAATTGAATCATGTAGCCATAAGGAACATAAGGAATGCCATGAAGATTAAAAGCCTTTTTATCTAGAATATAGTGAAAGCAACTTATACTTCCGTAGACTGAGGGTATGTAATTATATAATACCGTACAAATATTTACGAGAAAGACGTTAATCAAATTGTTTTGTTGCTTGGACACTGATAAAGATGTATTATGTAAGCAGAGATTAAAAACAGTACATCATAAGTAAAGTTTTACAATATATTTGATCAGTAAAATACACCTGACAGTCATACTTGTATTATTTACAGGCTCTAAAGGAAACATCGACAAAGATTTCAGAGTAATGGAACGGTGTATCCAATGCGGATTTTATTAAACAACCACTGGTATCTTGAATCTTGATTTCACACAAATAATATAAGTTATAATGACGTAGATAATTGAACCTCTGATTACACTCGTGCAAAAATAACTATAATTCATTAGTTATTAAATGAAGATGAAAAATAAAATACGCAAGTGATTTAAGGCTAGGTATAGGCGTTTCTATGCAAATTAGCTAATAAAAATGCAGAAGAGGTATACTTATTATACGAGAAAGCTTAAATTTATTGTCTTATACATACTTAGTTCCCAAGGCATGTTATAGCTAATGCACATTATGACGTCATATTATGACGTCATTGTTCTTTAGTACTCAAAGTAATAAAACACATCAACAAACGGCTTTGGCGCAAGGGCATACCCTATTTATTTTTAAGTAAATAATGTATAATACAGCGAAGAATATTCTAAAGATTAATAAAAATGCTGCACAAATCCTACGCACTTTCTCGTTTGATAAAAATTTGAGTAAACTTACGCTGGACTGTGAATTTTTACCCCGTTTCAACTCAAAACTTTACATAAAGTAACTAAATAATTGATCTGTCGGCATTTGTGCAGCAATATCACAAATCCTTGGAATATTCTGCTTCTAATTAGACCCTGTTTCTGTAAAAATGAATTGGGTATGCCCTTGCGCCGAATCTTTTTTGTTGATGTTCTTTATAACTTTGTGTAGTAGAGAGCAATGACGTCATAATATGACGTCATAATGTGTACTGGCTATGATTTGTCGCGGGTACCAAGTTTGCATTTGAAAATAAGTTTTAACCGTTTCTGTATAATAAGTATAGCCCTTATGCGTTTTAATTAGTTCAGTTTTATAGAAAGGTCTATACTTAGCCTTAACTTACTTGCGTAGTTAAGGTAGCACACATCGTGAAGTCCCCACTTATTACTGATATCATGGTAAGTAGTCTGTGCAGTTTCGTCTAAAACAATATCGCACATTAGTCTGACGCATAGATTATGAAAAGTACAAAAGTAATGGTAATCTGTCGAACAAAATAGTCTACAATTATACAAAAATATTTGTTCCACACTTGAAATCCTTCATGGCACCTGATCCCACCTCTAAATTTTGAGGTCCGTGTCTGCTCTGCTCCAAATTTGTATCGTTTCTTTGGACTTTCGAGATTGATTACTGTTCGTTATCTTCTTATTTCATCGTAGAGACTTTACTGAAATACAGGTTTTTTATCACAAAAGATGAAAACTTGAGACAACTGAAACAATTAATACAATTCAAAAGTACTTTCAGTAACGTAAGATTTTTTTTCAAAAGTTAATAATTGTTCTTTCACCCACCATGTGCCAAGGAATTTCTCGAATTAGTAGGAAAACAATGTAAAAACAATGTATCAAATATGTTTTCTGAAAATGTTTTACATCAGGTACAAGATGAATTTGTCTGTACATCAGAGTAGTAAAAAGGAGTTTCTCTTATCTTAATAAAATCCTGTATTTTATTTAAAGCACCGAATCACTCGTTCACCTCGTCCATGTACATTTCTATTTCCTGGATGGCGCCACCTTCCAACTCATTATGTAATCATATATGGAAGACACTAGGACGAGGAGCTTTGAATTTGGGATATTTTAACATTACGTAAAGAATACAGGAATCTATGCATACGAGTTGTAGAGAGGGTTCTCTTTAATCTTCACAATCTCTTCACTCTCATTTACTGCGTCAAATATCTCGTTTTTTAATTTTGATGAACAAGTTTTATCTGTTGACAGGATGACGTCATAATCATGGTCTAACCTATCTGTAATCACATATGAAAGAAATAAGGACTTATAACCCTGATTTTATGCTTTGATTACAAAAACCATATAGAAAACACGATTATTATAACAAACCAATATTGTAAAAGATTACTCAAGTATAGGTCAAAATCTTGAAAAGCAGTAAAAATATAAAAAATCAACAACTCTTACCAATACATGATGCTTTTTCTAGAGTGTAATTGTAAGAATGTGAATTCTGTTCTGTTCTTTTCGTCTGAGGACCATTGCTTTCATGAGAGCCACTATATGTGTTATGAGTCTTGCTAGGACTGACAGCTGTACTTCTCATTACGCGTTCTTTGTTGTTTTTCTCTGGTCTAAAGACCACAATGTAAATCTTGGTAAGGAAAAGGCAACTGAAAAAAACTGTCGCATGAATGAACAATGAAACACATAGAGAGATTACTCGTGCTGCGACAGTTCCTGAGAAAGCATACAGTGGTACAAACGCTAACCAGATGATAAAGGAAGTGAAGGAGCAGTACATGATCTCACGTGAATCGTTCATACCTTCAGGAAGTTTTCTTGTTTTGATGGCGAGGACGAGGCATGCAATCATCAGCAGAAAGGGCCAGAAGAGTAAAACAAAATAATTAAAATTGTAAGAGTCTTTACACGCACGGAATCCGGATAGAGGATTAGTTGTAAGATCATACATTATCTTATGTTCTGGAATATCAATTATTAACCAGAATATGATTGCAAGAAGCTGAACAGCCGATAGTGCAAGAGAAAGTAGCAACGCCGTCATCATTGTACACATGTGAGGTTTTGGTAGATTTTGTCCCTTTGCTGTTTGTTGTTTGATACCAGATCTCACATCGAACGCTCTCTTATAAACAATTAGCTTAGAAAGGACAGAAGAATAGGCCAGAGTATAACTCATCCCGATAAATAGTCGAGATATTGCACAAGAGAAAGATGAAGGATAGCTTAGTAAAATAAATGGTGATATGTATGACATAAGAATACTAGAAAGCATTACCATGCTGGTTTCAAAACCAGTGGCTTTTAGTAAAGGCGTATTTCGTTTTTGCACGAATACAACGGAAACAGCGATGCATAAAACAGAACCCAAAACACTAAATACGAGAATAGCAACAGAGAATGGACTTTCATATGAAAAATAAGAAATCGGAATTTGTATGCATTCATTTCTTTCTGCATTTGGTGTATAGCCGTGTGAGCAATCTGTACAGCTGTACGAGTCTGATGAATTAGTGATGGTTCCTGAGGGACAAGGTGTACACTCCCAACAACATATTTCTGTAATCCTTTTAATGTATCCAGGAAAACATTCCACAGAACATGCCGCCTGCGACTTGACAGCATCGAGTTCCAATTCTTCTCCTACAACTTGTATAATATAGAAAATGTCATCTTCACATGGTATTTTAAAGTCCTGAATCAAGATAATATAATTCTAAATTTCATTATGGAAGGTTGTTTTAAACAAATATAAATATGAAATCATAAATGTTATACATTTTCCTATTTCAGTCCATACAAAGTGGTTGCCTTTTCTTATGTACTGTTGGATACTGTATCTAGGTGGTCCTTCAACACCATCAACGAAATGGAATGAAGTGTTAAAAGGATCTGTTATTGAAATTTAAATGTATTATTTTTCTGTGAAAAATATATTTGATTTATATCATGTTGATCATTCTAGATTGTTAAATTTCAAGTTATTATCTTCAATTTGTGATCTTACTATTGTTTTTCTCGAGGTAATCCAACAACAGATCTCCTGTTAACCTTTCTTTGATTTCTTTACATACACCAGTTTCATTCAGACACATCTCTGAATGAATGTTTAGAATGGCATTTCCAAATGCGTAAACAGCATCCCGGACGCTGATGATATACGGGATACCTGAGAAGTATAAGCAGTAAGGAATTCCATTTTAAAGAGCAGTAATTCCACTAGTGTCATCATTCTTGTGTGATAATAAGCAGTTTGTCAATTTTAGACCTTATTTTCATATTCCTATAGGAATGGCAATTATGCGACGGCAAATTGCCAAATTAAAAAGCTGGAATTCATAAAAATAATTTCAAGGGTTTTTCAAAAGAGAGCATAATCATATATGCATTCTTAGCATTTATGATAACTAAACATAGAAAAAGTGATTATCTATAATTGTTGACTGGTTATCTTATTTTGTATATTTGAAATCCTAATAAATATTCAATGTTGTTAACCGTATCAGAAATATTGATTCATATTACTTGATTCAAGTTGCTAGGCCTTTGTTTTATTCCTGAATTTGACAACGGAATGCTCCGTCTACCTGTTCAATACATAGGGTCACGGCGGGCGAGACTGGTCAACAGGGGGGGATGCTTATTCTTCCTACCCCTGGAATTTTCAAGGATACGTGTTCCATGCCATGTTTACAGAATGACATTGTTTTCGGATTACCTCTAGATCAGACACTATTTGTTATCTTCACCTTTTTCATTTAGTCTAGAAAGTGTATAAACCAGATCAAACGGTTTGCACTTTTAAGAAATGTCTTACAACTCATCTTATTTCCCGCCTGGCGCAGTGGTTAAGGCATTTGCATTTGGGTTGCAGAGTAAGTAATGGATCCTTACGTTGCGGGTTCGAAACTCAATGCGGGACATGGAGCCCGGTTTTTCGGATAAGACCGTATAAACTGAAGTTCTGTGTCGCAGTAGGTGCTGACACAAAAAGATCCCACACCGATCAATGGCCCTAAGTGCCGAGTATAGGTTTAAAATTTGCAGCCCTCCAGCGGCAAATGGTTGCGTCTTAATATGAATGAAACAAAAGGGACGCTTAACAAAAAACAAACAAATAAACGACTCATCCTTTTAAAATGATGTTTTATCTTTAACCTCTTTTGTACATAGTTGTTATTTTCTTTCCTTGTCTATATTATGTGGGGTCTTTTAATTCGTTAAACTATTCAAAAGTTCAGTACTTTTTTTCTAATCAAAAATGTTAAAATTGTGATTTAGGATCAAATTTTACAATTATTTTTAGATATCTATGTCTCTTATTTTCTTAATTAAGTGGTATTTTATTGTTGAAATCTTCAATATTTATCCCTATGTTTAAGCGCTTTTAAGTAATTTAATTTATATTTAGCTACATTAAATAATAATAATTATAATAATGATAATAAGTACAAAAATAAATAAATAAATTCATATCTTTTATAATTCATAATTGTTCATATTAATGTTATTTACCAGTGTTATTAATTCGCTCACAATTTCCCGCTGTGCAATTTGGGTAATATTGGTGGAGGAATTCTGAATACCATGGATTCGGATTAGTTTCTGTAGTTTGGCTGTAATTAAGATATTGAAATTTATGTAGTATGATAGTAATCAAGGATCGTCCAAAGTTTTTGAAAATCAATAATTTTTTCCAAGATATGATACTACGAGAGAAAAAAAAAATCATATCATCCCACTTATTGACGTATTGGATATATCCCGAATATTCAGAAGTTTGGAGGGTTAATCCGATAGCTCCGTCCATGATATTTTCTAGCCCAACCGGGGGATCAAGCCCGGTTAATCCGTCACTTACAGTCCATATAAAGTCTTCAATGCGCATGTCATGAATTTTGCGGATAATTCTGTATGCGTTTTGATTCAGCATAAACAGAACTACCACTATTTTTCCTAAAATTTAAAAGTTTTAATGTTTATCTCTGAAAATGAAAGGCACTTTACACAAAATGGGTCTTCAATTTAGGGGCAGACTTTACTTTACTTTACCGGTCCCCAGATCCGCAAGATCCGCGCGCTCATTGCACTTTGACGTAAGATATACGTCATTCAACTTGTAAGGGTTAGTCTTGCACATTTTACGACTTGTTAGGGTTAGTCTTGCACCCATCTAAGAGATTAGGATTAGTCCTTGCATAGATTTTCGACTGATGAAGGTTAATCTTGCATCTATTTGAGAGATTAGGGTTAGTACTCGCAAATGGGTTTGTCTAGCATTACCCCGGGAGATATGGGTTAGTCCTCGCATACCATCCGAGAGATTAGGTGAGTGACTTGTTCTTTTAGATTAACTAAGAAATTCTGTTGCATCTGTTTATTTTGCAAGATCTGAATTCAGTTTCAACGGTATCTCGTTTGTTTGTTTACATGAAAAAAATGGCTAAGTAAAAATAAACAAAACTAAGCATGCGCTGCACGCGCTTCGTTGACAATAATTTTCTTCCCTTTTTACTGAATAAACAATATCTATTACTTTTTTGAGAGAACGAGATTTAAAGCTTTGTTTAAAAACGAGGTCTTAAACTAAACTTTTTACCGTAGAATTCGATTTTGGGGTCAAAAATGCATAAAACGTCATACTTTTTTTTTTTCGATCGCTCATGCGATCTCATATATATTGAAGTCGCCTAAAGGGACACTATATTTTAGTGCGTTTTTCTAGGGACCGGTAAAGTCATCCCCAATTTAGAATCAAGTTGGTTGAACCTTTTTAAAATTTCTTAAAATTACTTATTTACAGTTTCATTGTTATCATATCTTAGTCTCTCTTTCATATATATATCATCAAAAGAGCATTCATATTTGAATATAAATAGATAAAAGTACCTTTTGCGTTCTTTCTTGATCTAAGATCTGTTAAAACTTCAGTTATCTCTAAATCTGTCATATCCATCGAGGTTTGCTTCTCATAACCAATACATATGTTTTCCTGTTGTGCAAATTTTTTGATATCATTGTAACCATATCTACCATAGCTAGAATCTTCATACAGAATGCTAACATACACCCATCCATTTGCTCTAAAGAATAATAAAAGCATTTTATAAACAGAAGGCAGATGAGGTCAAACATCTTTTTGTTAATCATTACATTCCACAGGTAATTTGCTTATAAAGTGTGCAGAAAGCTTAGGCATTCAAAACACCATATTTATACTTATCTAAACGGTTTAGTGTATTTTAACCTATTTGCATTACTTTTTTCATATAGAAATATATTCAAATTAATAAACAATATCGGTTTTTTTGCCTTTTGTCCGTGATTGCTCTGCTCTCGATTTGTATTGCTTTAATGGACTTTTGAGCTTGGTTTGCAGATAGAGGGGAAGTACATTAAGAGGCAAACACTTAGGGCAGGCTATTTCTGTTTTATGAAAGCATCAAATTAACTTCTTGTACTCGTACCTGAGAAGCTGAACAATTCCTTTGGCCTGGTACGTGTCCGATGGTACTGTACGCTTGAAATATTTGTACTTTTGTCGGTCATTAAGGACTGAAGAAGTAGCCGTGCCACTAATCTGGAGTAATAAAATTCTTTACTTTGATTAAGGAAATAAAATCTTTATTATTTCTTTAAACTAATAAAAATTATAATTAAATAACTTCAATTAAAATACGAATTTGATTTTTTTTATCACATTTTAAACAAGAGATTCTTGGACCACAATACTAAGCAGAGTCATCTCGTTCCTGCTGTTAATCGGAAAATTATCAAAGATTCTTTTCCTCCTTTTGTCCCCATGAAAAAAAATTTGCCTGCTATTGTGTTGCCACACTGCCTACATCAGGGACCATGTATTGGAACATGAATCTTCATTATGTGTAGCTTCTTGCCTTTTTATATGAGTAATCATGATTTTTTTTTTTTTTTTTTTTTTTTTGGAATTGAAAGGAAGCTTTTTGAGACTGTTCCTTTTTTATTACCAATTAAATAATGTTCTATGTATAGTGGCCCTTCTCCGTCCCTCTCTCTCCCCTTCGGGCCTCATTTGACCAGATGAAATCTAGACTGAGGCTTCCGGCTTATCAAAATTGTTCTTATGGTATATAAAGTGATCCTGTACAGAAGAAGATGGAATCATTTTCTTCAACTAGATATTGAAATATTAAAGACGTTATTCAATTATCCACAGTTATGTACAATCATCTGTCGACTGAATATACCCCAGTGAATCGAAATAAAAGACACCATAGAGTTTGCCACATCTGTTGCATATGTAGATGTTTTATATTACCGATTATAGACGATAAGTGCCAAATAACAACTAAATTGTTCGGAAAATAAAATGACTTCAGTTTTTCCATAGTTATTAATATCTATTTAGTAATATTTCACTATCAACTACATATGGTGTTAGCATCTTCCAACTCATTCCATACTCTAGAACATGTTCTGAGTATACGATGGATTTTTTTTAACCGAGGCAGGCTTCCTACATACAAGGTGGCAGAGGATAGTTTCGGATTAAGTACCGGTCAAAAAATATTTTTAAAACAATAGAGAAACCTAAAGTTTGAATGCATATTATATGTGATTTTATTGCTAGAATATTTTATGTGTGTTTTTGGATGGAATTGATGGCCTTGTGTATTTTATTGATATATGACACTTTAGTGTCAATATACTACTATTTATAGGATATGGACTCGAAATACGAAACTAAAATCGAAAATCACCCATCCGGTATTCCCTCAGAAAAGCGGGGTGGGTTTATAGGAGGAATTGTAGCTTGAAAATGAGGTGGTTGAGCCAGTATCTCTTACTGTTCAGTGGTATTTACAGGTGTTTGTCTGCATTTTATGTGGTAGCATAGGGCATTAGCACGGGCCTAGGAGCTGTTGCGGATCCGGTTAAAAAGTAAAAATAGGCTAAAAATTTCATGAAATCGTGAGGTTGTCCCTGTGCCGTCATTTTGGATCAATGTGTAAGATGTACATTTTTTTACTCCTAAAAGCTTCAATTCCCTCAAGGGACTAGGCCATACTATTGTTACAGAGAGAATTTAAAGTTTTCCAATGCGCATTTTACAAGCAGCTCAATTTTAAGGAAAACATCAGCCAAATGTTTTGATTGCCAAAAAGACTGTCCTCTGCCACTTAAGTGGCAAACAGCGATAGACCTCATAAAACAACAAACAATACAATTCTGTGAATAGGACATAAACACGGTGTATAGACGAATATTGACCCCCAATAGAATAATGAACGGGGGGGGGGGGTAATTTTTCAACGACAAAAAATGACCCCAAGCCGTAGAAAAAATATTTTTTGTAGAAAAAAGAGCCCTAGGGGTAATTTTTTTTATATGTGCGTCCTATAAAAAATTGACCCGCGTTGAAAAATGACCCCCTTTCCAACAAAGTGATACAAAATTTATATTAGGTGATTGATTTCAAGGTTTGAACCTCAATCTTTGATTCTTCTTTATGCCCTTTTTGATCAACACTGGACGAACGCACAATAAACAACATTACATTTACATGCATAATTCTATCTTTTAGGCCTACTGGGTTCTCAGCACATACTGAAAATCGCAAAATGGCTAATATTGGTTGTAATACTTAATGTAATCTCCCTTTATGACTGTCTTCCATTAGTTTCATATTTGGATATTTGATTGAATATACATGTAGACATTCATAGATAAATAATAGACAAGCGGGATGTTCTGGCTTTTCAATGGTAAACATATCCTCCAAAGTATTCAGCAAGCTTTGAGTACGATCAACTTTTTGAAAAAAAATTGAAGGAAAACATATGAATGAGATGAGTTTCGGAAATAAATTCAGAAAGTTATACAATGTAGTATATATATATATATATATATATATATATATATATATATATATATATATATATATATATATATATATATATATATATATATATATATATATATATATATATATATATATATATATATATATGTATATATATATATATTGAATGACAAAAAAGTCGTGCAAATGGTGTAAAATGTATGTATCGCGAATGACATAATATCTTGTGCGAACGACATACTGTGGATATATTTCGTAATGAAATACTGTTGATATATTTCCTAATGAAAAAAGGTGAAGATAACGAACAGTGATGATTTTAAAATATCCACAAAGAATGAAACTCTGTTAAAAGGGCATAAAAAAGGGTCCCCGCAAATTGCAGAGGTGGGATCAGATGCCTAGAAAGAGTATGCAACCCCTCTTTCCCCGTCACACCCGCCGAGAGCCCTATGAATAAAATAGGTAAAAGTACATTCTGTTGTCGAATTTAGTATGAAAAAGGCTTAGCACTTGACCCAATTATAGGTTATATTTGTTAACATGGTCATTGATACGACCATTGAATTTACGAAACGCAGACTTTAAACGAGGTTGTTGAAACCCCTGTAGCATCAACTTACATGTATCTGTCAGCAGTCTGCATCGATTTAAAAATTAATCGTGCTCTTGGGTATCGAATAAGTTGGATTACGTAAACATCATATGCAAATGATAGCGGAATATTACTACACAAATAAGGAAAATTGACGATGGAAAAAACTGAAGTCATCCCGTTTGTCAGACAATCTAGTTGTTAGTTGGTCTCTATCGTCTATAGTCAGAAGAACGTCCAAATATGAAGCAGACATGGCAAACATAAGAAGGACATAAAATTTCTGCATGTCTGAAATATATACAACCGTATAATGTGCATTCAATTTTATTTATAAACAGTGGTCTATGGGAATTTCTTTTCAAATATATAGAAAGTAATAAAGAAGAATCCCAATGTACATTTAAGTCTGTAAACATGGTCGTCTGAGGGTAGGATGCGTACATGTAAAAGGAATGATTTTTTTTTAAATCCACTTTAAAACAGTGATACATTTGTTACATCAATATGGAAACATTTCGATACAGTGTAAATTGAAGTTTATTTATGTTTTCAATTTATCATTAAATAGAGACCATTTTATATACCTTCCAGGTGAACATAAGGATTTATTTTTTCCTACATTGAACTAAAATAGATTGAAAACAATTCTGAAGAGTTATTTCACCTGCATCCGAATTCCACTCTAGTGAACATAATATTCAGGCACAAAGAATCAGAAAAGAGGGAAGTATTGTCCCTCCCCAATATTTTGAATGTAAATTTTAGCAATTTCTAGTTTTGAAATGTTCATTGAAAGTCTTGTAAACACGCTCTCTCTCTCTCTCTCTCTCTCTCTCTCTTTACAAGGAATAGTTTAAACTTGAGTGGACAAGGTGAATATAATCTTCAGCGCATAGAAATAGGGGTTTTGTGGGGTGTCCTCCCCCTTCCATTTTCATGAACATAAATTTTTATCTTTTCCCTTGAAAATGTTCATTGCAAATCTGGTTGCCCTACCCTCAACGTTTTGATACAGTAGAGTAAAAGAAAATACCCTATACATACATCAATAAACTTTATGATTGGTACATCAACGATATTTCTAAGGTAACTTGAATTTTAGCCTCTTATAATGTTCCATTTCCCCTTTCGATGCTATGCCTGATATGCTCAGGTGAGCATTTTAGCCAACAGGTCTCTTTATTTGTAATTTTTTTGCCCCCTAAAAATTTCGACTTTGATCTACAACGGGTCATTTTTCTTCTCGTAGGGTATGCAGATTTGTAGGGTGATAACACTTTTTCTACGGGCAAAAGGGGCATTTTTCGAAGTCGATTAATGGCTGGGGGTCATTTTTTGCCGTTGAATAATGACCGGGGATCATTATTCGACGGCGAAAAATGACCCCTATCATTATTCTATGGGGGTCATTATTCGTCTTTACACACGGAACTCCTGAAATTTCAGAGGTGGGATTAGGTAACTGGGAGGAGTAAATATCCCCTGCTGACCGGTCACACACGCCATTAGCCCAATGTATTTATCAAGTAAATGGAAAATTCCTTAGTCAAGTTAAGTATAAAAACGAATGCCTAATAATTGGTATGAAACAAATCAGCCAAAATTCAACTCAGTGATAGGTTATATTTGCTGATAAGATCATTATAACGACCAAAGCAAATATAAAATGTTGACATTAAACAAGATCGTTGAAATCTCCGTAACATCAGCTTATGTACGAGTAGTTTGCCTCGTTTAAAAACTGCTTGTACTCGGAGCATGCTCTTGAGAAGAGAATAAGTTTGGAGACATAAACAAAATTTGCAGGTAAAAAGCGGAATATTACTACATGGATAAGAAACGTTTGTTATACAACTTAGATTCTAGAAGGCCTTTGTTGTTTATAGTCAGTTCAATATCCAAATATCAAACAGATGTGGCAGATATTGTGGAGTCTTTTATTTCAAGTTCACTGGGAGTCGATAATTACATTACGTTGTTGTTACAGTCACTTTTAAAGTCAGCAGTTCGTAAGATCTATGATCGTTATAATGACTTTGTTAAGAAATGTAACCTATCATTATTTCTGTTTTTACTGCCGTTTCCATACCATTTGAAAGGTCTTTACTTTTACGCTTTATTTGACTACGGAATATTTCGATCACCTGATCAATATTTAAGACTCAAGGCGGGTGTGTCCGCTCGACAGGGGATATTTACTCCTTCTAGAAACCCTTCCCCATCTCTTCCCTGGATCCATAATTTAAGATATGTTCATAGATTTATATCATTTGCGGGCTTTTTTTTTTTTTTTTTTTTTTAGATCGATCACTTTTTTTTCTCTCCATTTTTCATTATTACGAAAGTATATACATGTACATATTTACCTGTGGTATTTTGAAAAGAGCAAGCAGACTAGCCACGTATTGTGTCTCCCTACTAGTCGCTGGACCAATAACTCCTATCACCCGTCTGGATGTCAGTGTCATACAGTTATTGTATAAAGTCTCCTGTTTTGTGTAGAAACTTTGCTGAGCAAATTCTAAAGAATATTCCAAGGACGGGTTAATACTGTAGCATGTATCATGTGCTATCAAGCCTAACGATACCCCTTTCTGTTTCAAGTAAACATTTACTTCCGATAGCGCAACTATCGTGGCATCCAAGAGTTGAATTCCACTGTTTGGGTCAATGTTTATATCACATCCATTGTCCTTTGTAAAATGAACGGAGAAGAGTCCTCCCAGAATGAAGTCTCCAGGAATATAGAGATATGTTTGTCTGGTTTTGCTACAAATCAATGACCCCATTACAAGCAAATAAAGCGTTAGATATTCTATTTGTCTTGCAGCATCCATTTTTGAAGTTGTAGATTAAAAGTGCTACCTTTCCATGGGCTTGAAACTTCAATTACTCTTTTCTGTTTATTACGTATTATGTACTGTCTTTAACTTATAAAGACAGCATAAGGAAATTAACCATGTGAAGATGTAAAACTTTGTTCATAGTGCATCTCTTTATTGGCGTACATTGTTTCCTTATCATTAGCAACGCGCATATCATTTTTAATTCATTACAGTGGAAAACATTGCCAAAGAGGCATTTACATTGCCGAACAATATACAAGGAAAAACAAGTTTCATAAAGAGAGTGAAATGCAACACACGGAAAAAATAACAATGACTGACAAGGGGAAAACGTTTGTTGTTGGCAAAATCTGAGTTTTTGTGATATCAATATTTGATGAAGATGTGAATAAAATAGCAATATTACTTCGCCGTCCTCGTAAAATTATCGACCCTGATTTATTCATTTAAAGAAAATTCATTCTTCTGCTGAAATTCAATAGAAATAAGAAATTACCATATGCCATTGTTTTTTATTCCACCAAGATAATAAAAGTACAAAATGTAAACCTGGAATTTAAACTTAAATCAAAATATTATTCTGACAATAAGTCTTATTCTTCACAATATTTTTACAGTTAAAGAAAGTCAAAACGTACCAAGCCAGTGTTATATATAAGTACTTTTTTTTTTTTACACATGTCTTTACTTTGTAGTTTAAGGTTAAATATATGGAGATAACGAACAGTATTCAAGCTCGAAAGTCCATTAAACAATACACATTTAGGAGCAGAGCAATCACGGACCTCTAAAACATCAGTGGTGAGATCAGGTGCCATGGAGGAGTGAGCATCCCCTGCCGACCGGTCACACCCGCCGTGTCTCCTTGTCATGATCGGTTTATAACCGAAAAAATCCGTCGACAATTCAGTGTTTTAATAATGGCCTAACAATAAGTATGAAAAACGTCAGTCAGCATTTGACTTAATGATAAATTGTATTTGCTGACAAGGTCATTGTATCGACCATAGAACTTACGAAATTACGACTTTAAACGAGACTGCTGATATTCTTGTTTCAACAACTTGTTTGTCAATAACTTACCTCGTTTTAGAAATTGGTCATACGTAGATCATGCTCTTGAGTATCGAATCAACTGAGAGATATAAACCCCATGTGCAGGTGATGAATGTATAGTGCTGCATAAGTAAGGGAAGCTGACGATTGAAAAGTTAAAGTCATCACGTTTATCATAAAGATTGGTTGTTAGATTACCATTAGCGACTTATCCAAAATGAAACAGAAGTGTCAGATTCAGTGGTATCTTTTATTTCAAGCTCACCGGGATATATCGAATTGACATACGAATGCTGATATTGTTAATCGACTTTACGTCGTCGATATATCTAAATGTCGAGTTGAAGGCCACAGCAAATGTTTTCTTTTCACGTACAAGATTTTGAACAAATTCTGCTTCATATGAATACCAAAATAGGTCTGCTTATAACGGGGCGCAATTGGTACCCATGGGAATTCCAATAGATTGTTGGAAGACCTGATCTCCAAAAACTACATAAAAATTGTCACTCAATACTCAAGCATCTTTTTAATATCAACTTCAGAGAACCTGAGTGTACAATCAAAATGTTTTTAACAAAGTAATTTTGCAAATGACCAATGACAAGGTAAGTAAATTCACGAGTTCCATTTTTATTGAAAAAAAAAACAGCTGTCAATGATATCAAAAAGCCTGGACTTTAATTTATCGTGGGGAATGGTTGTATATAAAGTTGGAAAGTGGTAAATTTTTGTGTTGTTGACTCCATCAATACTGTTAATATTTTAATGAGGAGTAAGGAAAGAGGCTTTATAGAACATTTACTGGAACCCGCTGTGTATCTTTGTTTGTAAGGACTTTTATGAAGTTTCAGACTCCATTATAGATATGGGAATTCAAATTCATGTTGGTTGTTGGGAATATTAAAAGTATTCAAAACTGACATATGATTTTGAAAAATTTCCTTCTTAGAAAGGGAGCTATGGGTATAAGTCGGATAAGCACTTGTTGAATTAAAACCCAGTTCCTATAAAATACAATTTAAATAATGAGTCTTACAAACAAAGACAATGTTGTTACCTGCTTTGTCAGCAGGGACCAGTACGTACTGATCCTGTAATCTATCTAATTCTTTTTTCACTTCTGGATTATTGAATACAGAATGATAGTTGGTTTTCATTTTGCCCACAGGTTGAAAAGTCGTAAACAAATTTAAAAGTATACTTTTAATATTTATTAATACTGATCATGTTCATTTTAATTTAAACCAATTCAAACCGAATTTGGAATAAAAACGATTTTGCTTATTTCAAAAAATTAAAATCAGATGAATTAAACAATTATAATTATATAAATGTTGTTTTTTTTTATGAATCACGCAAATTAATTTAATAAATTTTTTGAGCGGGGGGGGGGGGTGTCAAAATTTAATGATTGAATTAAATGGAAATAACTACGTGTACAAATACGACTGGTTTGTAATATTTCCTAACTTCCTGAGTTTTCAAATGATAGATTTTTGCAAGGTGGTAAGTATAATATTGTTTTTTGACGGTTTAGATATTTCAACCTACCCCACCCCTCCCCCCTCCTAGCAGTTTCTATATCGTATAAAATTTTAATGTTATTGTTTTCTAATGTTATTGTATATGAAGTATATGTTATGAATTTCATTCTGGTCCCGTGCCAAAGACTTGGATATGTTTAGCATTGTAAAGGCTTACAGATGCATGGTAGTTTGGTCTCGGTATTGTAATATGACTCCCAAAGCATAATGTACAATGTTCGTCTTATGTAAATCAAGTGTTTTTAGAATTTAATTGTTTAATTTGCTGATTGCATTTCTAAGTAATACCTGAACTTTACAGGAATTATTTTATCAATCAATCAAATTAATAAACTAATTCTGTTTACATAATTCAACGGAAAGTTTCACAATATTATTCCAAACCGATAACTCAGATTAAAGATCAATAATAAAAAAAGACTTTTTAGCATAACAGTAGAGCTCTGAAAAGTCATACAATGCTGAGATACATTTAGTTTTTGAAATAAATAGACATAGTATAGAAAACTAAAAGAGATGTTTTATCCATGGCACCTGATCCCACCTCTGATGTTTGGAGGTCCGTGTTTGCTCTGCTCCTATTTTGTATTGTATAATGGACTTTTGAGCTTGAATACTGTTCGTTATCTCCATATATTTCAAACAAGGAATAACGAGGATTATTTTGACTTCGGTGATAAAATTTGTAGATGAAACTAAAACATTTAAACTTTATGTAAAAAGCATTACATGAGTACAAAAAAGTTATTTTTTTTTAGTTTTTGAAATAAATAGACGTAGTATAGAAAACTAAAAGAGATGTTTTATCATGTTGCGCAATTGTATTGTTTTGAAAATTCATATGTTCATTAAAGTTTCACATTTTTTTTAAATTAAGAAACTGGATTCAATGTAATCTCTCTCTCTTTCTCTCTCTCTCTCTCTCTTTCTCTGATTTACGTAGTTTTTTGTAGTAAAATTGTGTAATCTAATTCGAAAGTGGATTTGTAAATCAACAAAAGTAAACAAATCAACAACAAAAAATAATCATTTATTTTTACGTAAATTTACGATCAGTATAACTTAAGCGTATTTTCAAAATTAAAATTCAATTTATTCATATAATTCCATGTCAAAATAAACAGATTTTAAAAAATGAAAAGCAGTGTTAAATTTTGCATCTAGTTCTCATTCTGTATATTCTGACCGCTCAGGGTAGCTCATGATCAGTCGGTTGTGCGCTAGCTCCGTGATCGGAAGGTCGTGAGTTCGAATCTCGGCCGCGGCTGACCTAAGTCGATAAAAAAAATGGGTACCAACTGTTCCTTCGCCATGCGCTCGGCACATTGAAGTGAAAGTTGCGGGTCCTTCGGATGAGACTTTAAAAACCGAGGCCCCGTGTCAAGGCAGGCGTTGGCACGATAAAGATCCCTCACTGCTCAATGGCCCTAAGTGCCGAGTAAAGGTCAAAATTTGAAGCCTCTCACCGGTATATGGTGACGTCTCTATATGAGTGAAAAATTCTCGAATGGGACGTTAAACAAGATATTATCAATCAATCAATCAATCATTCTGTATATTCTGTAGGTTTTCTCTTTCACGTTAACAGGAGTTTGTTCCAAAACCGTGCAAAACTATTTATAAAAAAATCATAAATATACTAACAATTAAAACGCGTTTAACCTTTAGATATGTGTTAATTTTTTTTACTATCCGGTAGCAAATCTCTTTTGAAAATGGTGATTTGAAATGCTTAAGAAACAAAGTATACATTTAAATGAATTTCCTTCTCTGGTACACCTCTAGTAATATCTCGATTGTTAAAATTACCTCTCCTGTCTTTATTTATAGAAAAATATCATGTCTGTCATTTTCACGTAGCTTTGCTAAATTTGTGAAAACTTGCAAAATATACTTAAATTTCTTTTATGTTGCAAGGAGTGTGTGAAGTTTCAATTTTTGTGATAAAACATTTTACATCAAAAGTTTACGCAATATGCCCCGATGACTCATTGTTTACACGATCGATGTAAGTGTTGAGAATGGCGGAACGGATCTTTTCAATGAAAAAAAATCTTCTGCAACATTTTTTAAAAAAATAATATATTGTTTTAAGCTTACATCACTGCTTGAAAAAATAGCTTTACAAAACTTTACTTGCAAAGTAAATCTCATTAAAGGTGCTCCAAAAAGCAAGGTCATCTTTGTATTAACTTTACAAAAAGTAAAGGTGAAAAGGTAACCTTTACTTAAAAGAAAAGGTAATTAAATTTAACCTTTCACCTTTAATGCTGCATTAAAGTTGATATATATATATATATATATATATGAAACTTTTTTAAATCCTTATTTAAATACTGGCCTTTGTTTAATACACTCGTACTTGATTTCAACAAATGGTTTTTGACTTTTAAAATAAATAGGTATCTGATGTGTCTTTTGTGTTACCCCCACCTCGATCTTACTAAAAATACACAAATTTTCAAGCGTTATATCAATTTCCAGTTTATTTAGTATTAGAAGATTGTCATCTACAAAATATAAAAAATTATACTATTTTTGTATACTGTAGATGGACAATCAAAAATGTAAAAATGGTATCAGATATCAAAATATAGATATAATAAACTTTAAAATTCCCTATGACTTAACCTTTAACTCATCTGATTTGCTGATATCTGATAGATGGAGAACTCTTTTTTTATTTGCTTCTTGTGTAGATGTATTGAAACCTTTTCTGCAGTAATTTCTGCTTCATAAATATCTACCAAAAGCAGTTACAAACATTACAAGATTACATCTTTTACTTGAACAGGCAATAAAATGACAAAGAATAAAATTAAAAAAGGTTAAAATACAATACAATATTATTTATCCTTTATGGTGCATATACATGTGTTAAAACTTTGCAGTTTAAATGGAACTAAAAATGCCATACTCAGTTATTACTCAAGATCACTGACGAGAAACTACACAACATAAATCAGGCAAAGTACTAGTATTTCCAACTTAAACTATTAAAGGCTATATAATGAGTATTTATGTACAGGTTAATAATGTTGACATCTTGTAAGCATAATGGTGCAATTTACATATTCACAAAATTGCTTAAACACCTATTAGAATATAGGTTCAGATGTAGTTTTGCAAGATGCATAAGTAAATGCATGTGTCCAGCTTCACGCAGTGAGCCTGTTTGAGCTTGACTTTATACTTTGGACTATATGTTATGTGTATTGTGTCTGTGGTAGGAGATTATGTTTGCATACGTGTCCATCTTCACACGCTTTGGAAAATATGTAACTGGTTGTGGAAGATGTTGTATGTTTGCATATGTGTCCAGCTTCACACATTTTCATGTATGTGCTCGACTTCACACGCCTTGGAAAATATGTAACTGGTGTTGTGGTAGATGCTTGAGTGTTTGCATATGTGTCCAGCTTCACACATTTTCATGTATGTGCTCGACTTCACACGCCTTGGAAAATATGTAATTGGTTGTGATAGATGCTTGTGTGTTTGCATATGTGTCCAGCTTCACACATTTTTATGTATGTGCTCGACTTCACACGCCTTGGAAAATATGTAACTGGTGTTGTGGAAGATGTTGTATGTTTGCATATGTGTCCAGCTTCACACATTTTCATGTATGTGCTCGACTTCACACGCCTTGGAAAATATGTAACTGGTGTTGTGGTAGATGCTTGTGTGTTTGCACACGTGTCCAGCTTCACACATTTTCATGTATGTGCTCGACTTCACACGCCTTGGAAAATATGTAATTGGTTGTGATAAATGCTTGTGTGTTTGCTTGTGTCCAGCTTAACACATTTTCATGTATGTGCTCGACTTCAAACGCCCTGGAAAATATGTAACTGTGGTTGTGGTAAATGCTGGAGTGTCTGTATGCTGTCCCAAAAAGTCGAGGACACGACAGCTAGCAAACTTAATTTATTCTCTAGGAATAAACCGTAGATGCTACAACAAAATATAAACAATACAATGTAGCACATGCAAAAACGTATCATAGGTCAGGGAGTACATTACCGATAAGCAATTAATTCATTCATGACCAAAATATTTAAATGCATAAATTAAATACATCATAGATATTGAAAGAAATGCACTATTTATCACTTATATAATGGTGAAAATGAAATAACAAAAATACATACACTGTGGGGTCTGTAAAACACCATCGATAAAATTCATAACATGAAAAGCTCGTGGAGCGGAAGAAGTATATTGAACATAAACACCAAAACCAAATACCTAAAAATTTTCCGGAACGGAACAGTCTGCATATGTGTCATGCTTCGCACAGAGAGAAAAGTTTTGTGTGCTCTTTTCTAGAAGATAATGATTATTTAAATATACTCCAAATACATCCTCTAAAGAAATGGATAATCATAATGAGTTACATACTAAGTTCCTCAGTGCACAATATACACAATTTTACTGAAAATTAAACTTGTGCAAAAACTCTCTTGCTGAATGACTTTCATTATTATAAATGCTTGAATGTTCATCTATATATATTCTTGATCATGATGGCATCCATATTTGATTCCCCTCTCTGTCATCTTTTCTTGGTCACCAATTAATTCAACAGTAGGCTGGGTACTTAGATCTCTCAGGTGTTGGACAAAAGAAGTGCTAATAATAAATGTAATCTTTGAAATTATAGAGAATAACATCCATTTCTTTTCCAGGTTTGCATTAATTAGTTATCTTTTGAAATTAAAGCACTTCTGCAATAACCTTGAAAACTTGCCAAGATACGTTAAATGTCTGTAGCATGCTTTAACTACTTTAATTTTATTTTTGGAAGTTTAGAATGATAGAAAAACAAGTTCAAAAATAAAATGTAAAAGATCTTAATAATGAAGATTCATTTACACAATGTTATAACACATTGAAGTCAATTCCTCACCTGACTCTCATAATTTATCTTCATAATGGAGTTGATTCTATGATGATCACTTTCAACCATTTAAAAGAACTTCTTCATCTCAAACTATCTGAAGGTCATCCATCTACCCAACTGCCACTCACCTAAAGTGTACCGAGACTTCTGACCTGTATAATATCAAAATTCAAGATTAAAATTTTAAAAAATCCCTTCACCACACTGGTCTCTTTAGAAAATGTGAGAAAATAATTTAAATACTTTTCTGAAGATGAAATAATGTATCTAACAATGTTTAAAAATATTTTGATCACTGTACAGTGATAATGTATGAAAAAAGTCATGTCCCTTGTATTTGAAAAAAACTTCCATTCTTAAGGACATTACCCAACATGGAAATAATGCACATTTGTCTCTGGCACAACCAAACCACAAGAGACCTTTCCATACTTAGCACCATGCATTAGCTCTCCACTCTTTGTTTCTACAAAAGATAAATTATGAAAAGGTAATTTTTTGACAGCTAAGTCCGATTATTTATTTTCCAGTCAGTGATGAAAAGAATATTTGATTTCCTTAATAATGAGGGACAGATTATTCATGTTTATCTTAAATGAACAAAATTTGACCCCCCCCCCCCCCTTACAAAAAGGAAAAAATAAACTGACTCAGAAACTCTTATTTCAGTGAGGTAAAGGGAATAATGGCATCAGACAAGGAAAGATTATTAATCATTTTTTTCAGTTGAGATGAGATTATATCTTTTAAACATTTTTGAGGTTAATATATTTTAACACCCCCCCCCCCTCCCGCATCAAACAAAAAATAGTCGCCCCTTTATTTAGCTTTCCTAAATCTATAACAAAATTTTTATTATGATTTTTTCCATTTTAATTTATTATATCCTGACACTGATACCACCACTATATAGTAGATGCAACAACTTGAGAGGTGACCCCTCTTCTTCCCTCCCTCCCCTAGATGTTTCGTCTAAATGTTAAACGACTGTTGTTCAATATCTTGGAAGACAGAAAACAGTTATACACAAAAAATAAGCACATTTTCATTACCTTGCAGTCAGTGTCGAGTGACACACGTAAACAACATCTCGCAATCTCTTTGTTTATTCTTCATTTCTTGGCGGAATTTTTGTTGCCTCGTAGACTGGTTCCCATACATTGCAAATGCCCTGAATAAGTCCTACGCTTATTAGTTTTGTTTATAAGAGGTAATATCAGTAATATATCCCGTTCATTTGACAACCTTTACTTTAAAATACTGAAATATATTTCATCATATATACAGATGTTTTCCACCTCAGTATTGTGTAATCCTCTTCATCCAAGTCTTCTCGAATACAAAACGAACGATCTACTTTTAACAGTAACCCAAATATGGCACTGTGTATTCCAACGGATAGCCAATCATTTCAAATCAAGTTGAGCGGGTCTCATCGGTATTTTCTGGTATTTTTGACGAAAATATGCAACCAGTGATCAGTTGAATTGATACCTTTTCATCTACCAGAAGATTTAAGGAGCTTATTGCTTGGAAAACTGTTCGAGCTCCCGGGCTGGCATGCACTGCAGGTTTGTTTACGTTTTCCATCTGTTTTCAGCATATATTGTGAAACATTGAAACTGATGAAAGTCAGGGAAAACTACGCTAAATATGTGTTTTTAGATAAGTAACTTGATAAACTGGGGATAATGTTCCATTTTTTTCTGTAAATGATTATGGATTAAACAAGACCAAGGAAAACAATTCTAGGTCACAATTTCAGAATGTTTAGCTGTTTACATTAGTGCTAGGAAAAAAATGTAGAAGCCAGGGTATGGCAATGTTTTTAATAGAGGACAAGTTAGGTTATATTTTATAGATATTATTTTGTATTCTAAACCATGTCTATTTTCAAAAACAGGTACAGTGAAATCAATTATGCAGGTTCTTGAAGAAAGTCGTGGATGACAACAATGTATGATTTACCAGACCAAGGGATCCCAATGTTTTTTTGACGGTACTTGTACATATTAGTTTTTAAAAAATCAATAAATAATATCATAAAAATGTTACTTAAACAATTATTTAAATTATCAATTGCTTGACTTTTTCGGGAGTCAGTATAATTATACATTTCTGTTTTCAAAAAATGTGTTATTACTTTTTCCAGGCTCCAGCTACTCGGCTTACTGTGAGAAAGTTAACACCTTATTGACATATCTTTCATGAAGAAGAAATACTTGAGAAGAGTTCAAGAGTTTAATTTTATAGATGGCAAGTGTTGCTTAGAGCTAAAGTATTCTTTAATTGTGAAGAAAACAAACATAAGGGTGTTCGGCAATTCATAACTATTAACTGTGATTGCATTGTGTATTTTTAAAATCATTCTTTGGTATGCTTCAAACTCAAAAGTATTTATGAAAACATTGACTATATTTATCCAGATGTATGAAATGTTTATCAAAGTATAAATTCCATTTTAGCATGTTATCTTCAAAATGAGGGACCTGTCAACTTTTACAATTCCAAGATCAGGAAATAATTCATGAGCAGCAACATGCTACTGGGAGAAAGGTACATATATCCTAAACCATAACTTGAATATCATACTATAGCTCTATAAGCAGCAACTATTGGTCTTTTTGTTACCTGATGACTAAGAAGGAAAATGGAGTTAATTATATGTGTTCAGTAATTATTCATAGATACTGATGCCAGTTCTTTTTCACAAATTATCTTGCAAGTAAGACAAACGTTTTCTCAATTCTGCAAAAGTATCTTATTTTACTCCTACATTAGTATATTTTGTAAATAATCCTTTCAAAAGAAAAATTACGTGATGATAAACAAAGAAATTACAGAGTTATTAAATTTTAATCTTAGGGGAAAGTTAAGGGCTAGTGGCCCAGTCCATTTATATCATAAAATAAGTTAATAGCAACATGTTCATCAGTTTGTATCTGTCTTATTTAATAAGATTAACATAGTCTTTTTGGTAAAAATAAAGGCTGACATTAATGGTTCAAAATATTTTCTTTTTGAGGTTAAAGGTCATGTATGAAATTTTTATCTACATGTATTAATATGGTTGCATCTCGTTTCAATTTTCATTAGTCATGATACTGTGAATACTGATATCACAGTTTATTTGAATTTATAACACAGATGCCTATGAAAATATTCATGTCACTGAAAATATATATATTTTTTTTCTTTTAAGGAAAACAGTAGAAGACTGCCTGCATGAGAATAAAAGTTTTGGACTCTGAAAAGGAATATGTGACAAAATATATATTTGGACAGTTGTTGATTTCCACAGAAATGCATATTGAGTGACATAAAAGTGGAGCACAGTTTCATGTCAATTCAAATCTTTAAATTCAAGGATGAACAATTGGTTCTTTATAAAACAAAATGACATGTTTGAAAAGGATTTTAGTGCAATGTACTCTCTCCTGGATACTTATCTATGTGTATGGGCTTTGCAGGATAGACTATGTACAACAGATACTGTCAAGAAATTTGATGTTGTTGATTATATGGTTGTATAAAAATGTTTAGTATAGTAATAAACAAAGTTTAAGTCAATCTGTTGTTACTTTGTATATTAAGTATCTTTTGCAGTTTCAATTTGGAAGGAAAAGCTTATTTATCATATACACAAGCTTTATTCAAAAGAATGGAAAACAGTAATTAACTTTTGTGGCTATTAAAGATGTTATTTAATTAAATTTAATATTTGTAATTATCAGATTTAATGTACCCCAAATACTGTGTTTAATGTTTGTAAATATTAACTTTACTTTTTTGTAAAGTCAAGACAATGTGGGACATTACATCATATTTAAGTGCATGTAAAGTTAATGTAAAGGTTACCTTTTCCAACTTTGACTTTTTTCAGAAAAGCCAATTAAAGGCATTGTAAATAATAAATTTACATTATCTTTACTTGTTTTGTAAAGCCAAATTTTCATGCAGTGCATGTAACCTGAAATAGATATACTGTATACTGGGAAATTTTCGTCCCGTTTTATTTTCGCCCCTTTCGCCCTCTCTGTTTGTGGGCGAATTTAAAACGGGGCGAAATCAAGAAAGACAATAAATCTCTCAAGCAAAACATTGTCTGGGCGAATATAAAGAGGAGAAAAATTGTTTGCAAGTGTTAATGTAAGAAAATAACATGGGGCGAAAATAACCCTGCATACAGTGTATAGAACATATTCAATTAGTCAGAAAATCACTTCGTTTGAATTAAGCTCCTATAAGAAATTAAAATACTTAGTACGTCTGTAGGCCTAAATCAGAGACGGATAGATTTTTTATAGAAAAAAAAAAGCAAAAGAACAAAATTCTGATATTTTAATTAAAACCAGTAGACAAAAAAGATTCATAGTTAAATTAAATATTTGAATACTGTTCGTTATCTCCATATTTCATGAAATTAAAGCCGTCACGGTAGCTCAATATGTAGAGCGCTCGCTCCTTGATCGGAAGGCTGTGTGTTCGAATTACGGGCGAGACTGACCTAAGTCGAAAAAAGAATGTAGCAACTGTTCCTTCGCTAAGCGCTCGGCACTTTGAAGTGAAAGCTGCGGATCCTTCTGATGAGACCTTAAAACCGAGGATCCTTGTCACGGTAGGCGTTGGTGCGATAAAGATCCTTACTGCTCAATGGCCCTGAGTGTCGAGTAAAGGTCTAAAGCTCTTTAAAGCCCTTCAAGGGTTTATGGTGACGTCTCTATATGAGTAAAAACAATCCGAACGGGACGTAAAACAACATAAAATCAATCGTGAAATTATGAAATTAAATTATGATTTCAATGTTTCAAGAACTACGAAAGAGTCCACCCAAAATAAAATTTCCACAAATATGTAGACATGTTACTTCAGTTTTCTTACAGAATACCGACCAAAATGTTAAGAAACACTTGCTGTGGAGTTCAACTCGACATTTAGATATATCGACGACGTATTGTCAATTAACAATGGTTATTTTCATTCTTATGTCGATACGATATATCCTGGTGAACTTGAGATAAAAGATACCACAGAGTCTGACACATCTGTTTCATATTTGGATATTTTACTTGAAAAAGACGTTAATGGTAATCTAACAACCAAGCTTTATGATAAACGTGATGACTTTAACTTTTCAATCGTCAACTTCCCTTACTTATGCAGCAATATACCTTCATCATCTGCATACGGGGTATATATCTCTCAGTTGATTCGATACGCAAGAGATTGCTCTACGTATGTACAATTTCTAAAACGAGGTAAATTATTGACAAATAAGTTGATGAAACAAGAATATCAGCTGTCTCGTTTAAAGTCATCATTTTGTAAGTTCTATGGTCGATACAATGACCTTGTCAGCAAATACAATTTATCATTGAGTCAAATGCTGACTGACGTTTTTCATACTAATTGTTAGGCCATTATTTACACACTGAATTGTCGACGGATTTTTCCGTTACTGTAGATTCGTTATTTTTTGCGAGTACTTATTATTGCGAAATGGCTCTTTCACGTCAAATCGCGAGAACGGAAATTCGCGAGTGGACGATTGATCAAGGGATTTTACAGCGATTTCAACACCATAAAAATAAAAGCGAGAAATTTTATTTCGCGAGTGGTGCTTCTCGCGTAATTACGCGATAATTGATTCCTCGCGAATATTTAGGAATCTACAGTATTTCCCGATCATGACAAGGAGCATACGGCGGGTGTGACCGGTCGGCAGGGGATGCTCACTCCTCCATGGCACCTGATCCCACCTCTGATGTTTGGAGGTCCGTGTTTGCTCTGTTCCTATTTGTGTTGTATAATGGACTTTTGAGCTTGAATACTGTTCGTTATCTCCATATATTTCATGAAAGGTAACTTGCATCACGAATCCTTTCATTTCCATCTTCGTGTTGAGATATTATTTCTGATTATACATGAACAAATAAAACTACTTTATTTCATGTGAATGATAGCAAAAAAAAGAACTGTAAATTTTCCTTAATTTTATTGATGATTTAAACCCTGTAGGCAAAATGAGCGTAAAAAACGGCAAGAAGTTAAGATAAAAAAGACTTTTTATCTATAATATAGCGAAAGTTAATTATACTTCCATAGACTAAA